TCCTCCCTGGTTCTCACCACCCTGAACAACTTTGTGTCATATGCAAATTTAGCCACTTCGCTGCTTACTCCCAAACCCAAATAATTAATAAACAAGTTAAAAAGCATCGGACCGAGTACTGATCCCCATGGTACCCCACTGCTTACCATCCTCCACTGAGAAAACTTCTCATTTATACTCACTCTCTGTTTCCTATTAATGGCTACCCTTCATTGAGTCAATCCTCTCCGTCCGAGCTATTCAGCAGCAAAAGGAAATCTACTCTGCACATATGGGCCGTGCTGTCCTTTTATATAGCCACCTTGAGTGTTTTGTACAGAGAATGTGAGCCAGACATATTTTAAATTAATTACAATTCTTTTAAATGAGAAAACTTCAGATTCCCAAGGACGCTCAGCTGCAGGAAATAGGATCTTCTCAGGCTCCTTGCTGAACAGCCCCCTCCCCAAGCCGAGCTTCCTGCCTCTTTCCTGCAGTGGGTGATAGGAGGACCAGAGCCAGCCGCTGGCTTGTGCATAATCAATACATCGAGGCTGAGAGGACAAATGGAGGAAACCTTTGAAAATACATGGCCAAGGTTTTACAGCTGAATTGAAGAATACACGAAATAAACTGTGTGTGAACCGAACCAGAGGATAATAAGAACATTTATAATATTCACAAAAATAAGTGCAAAAGATACATTCAACTGTATAAGTTGTAAAACCTGACTTTTTAACAAGAGTTGTATGGGAAATCTAACATATAATCTAAAGAGATAGACTAATACCCCCCTTTTTATCTATGTTTGTTTATGTTTGTGTTTATGTTTAAGTTTGTTGGTTTTTTATCAGCTGGTTACAGCTCCTAGCAGTTCGAAAGCAAGAAATTGCAAGTAGATAAATAGGTACCACTTCGGTGGGAAGGTAACAGCGTTCCGTGCACCTTGGTGTTTAGTCATGCCGGCCACATGACCACGGAAACGTCTTCGGACAGCGCTGACTCTTCGGCTTTGAAACGGAGATGAGCACCGCAACCCTAGAGTCGGACTCGACTGGCTTTCGAGCAAGGGAACCTTTACCTTTATAAAATAAAATTGTATTAAAAAAGAAAAAGAATCCCCATCTGCTGCTGCCACAGAAAGGCTTGGGACGTTCTCTCGCCTTTTGTCTCCATTTGAAGCGGGGGGGGGGTTCCACAGCTTCCACGAAGATCGGCTTGCTACACTCCCCTCCTCGGACTGGGATTCCAGGGAGTGTTCGAAGCAAGCTAGTTATCCAGGGATACCCGGATTAGACTGAAACCTTCCAGCTCAGCTGAGATTGTATGTGATGGGGGGGGGGGAGAATCTCCAAAACTGTTGCCCAGAAAAACTCAAAATGTTCATAAATAAAATCTGGATATATTCTGATTAGTCAAATTAAGCAAGGGAGCATGTTTGCTTTGCAAAGCGGAATTTGTTCAAGGATGTGGAGGAGAAACAGCCTAGGGGTGCATTTTGGACATTCCAAATGAAAATTGGTGCATTTTGTAGAGTTGCCACCACTGGGTTGTGAAATTCCTGAAGATGTGGGGGGTGGATCCTGTGTGGGGGGGTGGAGTTTGGGAAGAGGAGGTACTTCCGCTGGGTACAATGCCACAGTCCACCCTCCAAAATAGCCATTTTCACCAGGGGAACTGATCTTTGCTGTCTAGAGATGAGTTGTAATTCCAGGAGATTTCCAGGCCATACCCAGAAATTGGCAACCTTACATGTTACTAATTTTCTACTGTTACAGTTTTTATGTAATTTCCTGAATGCTGTAGAGCATCGCACATACAAAGTTTGCTACAGTTTACACGCATCCCCCCCCCCCCAAGGAACCAATACCAACATGTTCATTCAGAAATCTCTGCAAAAGAATGTTCCATCTGTGTGTCATTGATTGCAGCTATGCTGTGATCATTTTGGTGCCTCTTTTTGGATGTTTTACTAGCATACAGGATCGTCTCAGAGAAACATTTGACAAAAAAAGAATGTGGATGCAATTAATCCAGGGCTCCCCAATCTTTTAGAGCCTGCGGGTACCTTTGGAATTCTGACACCATGTGGTGGGCGCAACCACAAAATGCGGGTACCTTTGGAATTCTGACACCATGTGGTGGGCGCAACCACAAAATGCCTGCCACAAAAAATGCCTGCCACAAAACAGCTGCCACAGCTTACATTCAGTCACACAGTGAAGATCTTTGTGCTGTGGTGTCAGCTCAGGCCTCTAGCTATGGTGGGGCACAGGGTTCTGCCCCCTCAAATGCGAGGCAGACCCCATAACAACTGCTGTCTGTCTCCCCCCTCCTCCCCCTCCTCCTGTGACATTAAAAGGGCCCTCCAGCTGATCGACAGAGCATGTCATCTGCCAATCAGCTGGAGGGCCCTTTAAATCTTGCAGCCACGCCTCTCCCTCCCCTCCTCCAAGGTTTAAAGGGCCCTCCAGCTGATCAGCAGGCCCTTTAAATCTTGCAGGAGGTGAGGTAGAGGAGAACCCCTTAAATGCTGTTTTTCAAGCAGGGGGCTGCCCACACCTTAATTGCCGCTTGGAGTTCAGGGAAGGTGTGCGGCAGCCCCTGTTCCTCCCCCGTCTCTCCTCCCCCTCCCCTGCTGCCCCATAAAATTTCCCCGTGCCCCACCAACTCAAAATTTCTGGCTGCAGGCCTATGTCAGCTGCTGCCAAAACAATGTTTTAAAAAATCTGCACAGGCAATCAAATCTCCAGTGGTCACCAGTCAGAAGCCTTATAGCATCATGCAGCCTTGAGAATGACAAGAGCGTTCTGTCCATGTATTCAAATACAATACCTTTATTGGCATAAGAGGGTCCAGGAATTTTAGCTGCACAATGCGTCTTTTGTAGGACCAGCAGTAAGCATCAACACAACTATAACTGAAAGCTTTCCCCCTTCTGGAAGACTTCATGCAAGTAGAAGCAGGCTTGTAACTCTGGAAACTCCCGTTGGGGTTTGACTTTTAAAACACTGTTGCAAAAGTGACTGGTAGTTGTTATATTGTATGAACTGAGTGCTATTGTTATACTGAATGTACTGAATATATATACCTGATTAGAATGTTATAATAATACACAATGCACTTTATAGAATGATAGTTATAAACAGAACACATTAATTTACAAAAGTTTCTTGCAGTGTATATTTATTCGTTACTTGACTTTCCTTACACTGCAACTCGGGTTGCTACAACTGTTTTTTTCAAGCATTATTCACAGAGATTGCATTCTTTATCCTCCTGCAACAGATCTTTTCCTTTCCTCTTCTCTCCTTTCCTCTCCTCTCCTCTCCAGCATCGAGGGCACCTCGATCTGCCAATAGCAAGAAGGGTTCCCGTAGCAAGTGACAGGCTGAGGGCCCCGCGAGGAGTCGCCAGGGGAGGAACGGTTTAAAACTCCCATCCCCTATATCTCCCCCTTTCTGTGAGCTTCCTTCCTCCCCTTTCCCTGAACTATCCTCCATGTTGCCAACTTCCTGGAGAACAATCCGCCCTCATCAGACTGGGAGATTTTCTTTTGGTCAGTTTATAAGGTCATATTTCCCTGCTTGTCTAGGAAGCTTCGCTCCCCAAATAGATAGAACCTGTCCCCCTCTTCTGTAAGTGGCCTGTTTTCATGATTGGCATGAGGGACAGCCACTTAGCCACTGCATCATTTAGGTCTGCCAACGTCCAGGTGGGGCCTGGAGATCTCCTAGAATTACAACAGCTCTCCAGACAGCAGAGGTCAGTTCCCCCGGAGAAAATGGCCGCTTTGAAAGCTGGGGTCTATGGCATTATATCTGGCTGAGGTCCTTCCCTTCCCCAAACCCTGCCTTCCCCAGGCTACAACCCCAAATCGTCAAGAGTTTCCCTACTTGGAGTTGGCAACCCTAGCATCATTTAAGCAGTACAGTCAAGAGCGTGAAGGTCTTTTAGGCCATAAGTAGCAGTCAGCCAATCTGGTGCTTCAGATATTGCCTTGGGATCCATTAAATGCCTTGGGATCCATTAAAGGGAGCTCAAAGCTGCAGCTGGGAGCCTTCAGTGATCCCAAGATCCTGGCTTCCGGGCCAGATTGTACCCACAGACAGAAGGACATTCAGCTGAGAACATCTGTTGCAGTGCTAGGGAAATGGATGGATTGTCAGCAGGTGAAAATCCAGGGTTGCTGGAAGTGTTGGCTATAGAGCCAAGAGGAAGACGCAGCTCTTCTTATTCTTCAGGAAGGCCCCAGGACTGGCTGGGAACCATTTCTACAAGTCCAGGATCAACGGGAACCCATCTCAGGCCTTGGGGACAAGATTTGACAGGAAGATTCCCCTGTAGCTCCACTCCTTGGTTTCAGGTGGAGAGCTCAAGGCCAGGAGGACGCTGGAAGGTGGTGGTGGACTTAGATATCTTGTGATCCATGACGCATGCACAGTGGCCTGGCAGGTGTTGAATAATGCTTCCCCACCCCTTGTTTTACGTTTTTATGGAGTAAAAGCGTGGGGAAACATCGGGCAATTGACTCCCAGGCTGGTTGCTGTGAATGAGTTTTGTAGCACAGTGGTGCACAAGTTGTGACCAGAGGTTAGGTCCAAACGTTCTCTTCCAGGGCTCTTTTTGTAGAAAAAGCCCAGCAGGAACTCATTAGCATAACAGGCCACACCCAACAGCAGAAACTCATTAGCATATTGGGCCACACCCCTGACAGCACAGCTCATTAGCACATCAGGCTGCTCCCACGTTTCCAGAAGTGTGGTCATCCAGCCACACCCACCTTTTGCTTCTTATTCTGTTTACCTTGTCTGTTGTCAAAACCCAGGGCCTTTTTTTGTAGCAGGAACTCCTTTGCATGTTAGGCCATACACCCCTACTGTAGCCAATCCTAATGAGTTCCTGCTGTTGGGTGTGGCATATTATGCTAATTAGGTTCCTGCTGGGCATGGCCAACTTGGGAGCCAGCCGGAACTCCGTTCCTGTGCGTTCCTGCCCAAAAATAGCCCTGTTCTCTTCTATTACCACTCTGCAGTATCTATGATGAGGGGCATGAGGTATTCTGAGTGGCGAACTCCCAGGGAGTAAGAAGGGGATCTTTTCCAGTGCACGGTTACCTTTTCGGGACTGTGTGTTCCGGGCCCTGGTGTGGGGAAGGTACTTGTGGGCTTCCGGAGCCTCCCCAGCATGGAGAATGCCGGCTGACGGCACAAATAAACATTGGGGTCAGTGGTGCTGTAGCCTCCCGGGCCTGGCGTTTTGGACAGGTCTTCACAGTAGCTGTTTCTGTTGATCCGGCCGGAGATCGTGAAACAGGGGCTGGAGGGCTTGCTAGGGATTCGTGGGCCCAGGAGTGTGGGAAGGGTGTAGCTGCTGGGGGCAGGGATGTGATCCACCGGGCGGTACTTCGTGCGGGCACCCATAGAGAAAGATGGCGGTCTGTGTTGGGATGGTGGTGGGAACCTTTCGGGGCTATATGCGCCTGGCCCGGGGGTCCGTGGCAGACCTAAGGGGAAATGCACACACGCTTGAGCCTGGATTCTTCAAAGCCCTGGTGTGGTAAAGAGTGCTGGGCTGAGGCAACGTGGTGTAGGGGTTAGAGTGGTAGACTAGGACCAGAGACAGCTGTATCTGAAGAAGTGAGCAGTGACTTATGTAAACTCCTATCCTTCCACAAATTGTGTTAGTCTGTAAGGTGCTCCTGGCTCTTTACAGACAAATATGGCTACCCAATCTCCATATAAGGGAGCAGTGACTCACAAAAGCTCATAACCTGCCACAAATTGTGCTAGTCTGTAAGGTGCTACTGGACTCTTGCTCTTTTCTGTCACTCCAGACAGACTAACATGGTCACTCATCCTGAGCCAGCTGAAGAAGTGAGCAGTGACCCATGAAAACTCCGACCCTGTGTTTGTCTTGAAGGTGCTGCTGGGACTCTTGCTGTTTTCTGCCACTCCAGACAGACTAACACGGCCACCCATCTTGATCTAGGACCAGAGAGACCTGGGTTCAAATGTGCACATGGCCATGAAGCTCACTGGGTGGTCTTAGGGCATTTCCCTCCCTCTCCCCCCCCTCTGCCTAAACAACCTTACAGGATTGTTGTGAGCTTAAATCAGAAGAAGAGCAAAATCATATAGCCTTCCCTGAGCTCCCTGAAGAACTGTGGCATACAAATGTGATAGATAGATCAGGGAGACCTGTGTTCAGATCTCTGCTCTGCCGTTAAGGTCATCGGAGCCAGTGTGATCTTGCATTTTTGCTGTAAAAATATTGAAGGACTGGCATATTCCCCTGAAGAGAATTTTTTAACCTTAACAATAAAATAGTCTTCCTCATTTGCACCATCAGCTTTTTGGCTGCAGCATCCATCCTGTGCAGAAAGATCCCCACCTGACAATTGCAGGTATTTCTGCCTATGAATTTGGAGGCTCCATTCAGCTATCATAGCTAACAGCCAGTGGTAAAGGGCTACCCGCCCATGAATTTGTCCATCCCCCTTTTGAATCTATCTAAGCCAGTAGCCATCACTACATCTGGTGGCAGTGAGTTCCAAAAGTCAACTACCATCGTATGAAGCAGTGCTTCCTTTTTGTGTCTTGAATCTATCGCCGATCAGGCAACACTACGGCCTAGTCTTACGTAAGAAGAAGAAACATTTCTCTCTATCCACTTTCTTTACACAGTGCATAATTTTGTAGACCTTGATTTTATCCCCTTCTCTAAACAAAAAAGCCCCAGATGTTTCGGCCTTGCTCACTACCGCAGGCCCCTCAGCCCTGCCATAATTTCGACTGCAGCATTTTGGTTGCAGCTACTGCTCTTTGCAGCATATTTTCCAGCTCTTCAGAATCCTTTTCAAGATTCAGCAGTCAGAATCTGGCAGATGTGGCAGCCCATGGGATTTGTATGTGGATATTACTCTCTATTTTTTTTGTCATCAAGTTGCAGCCAGTTTATGGCAACCCCATAGAGTTTCCAAGGCAGGAGATGTGCTAGCAGAGTAATTTACACAGCAACGGTGCACAACCTGATTAAAGAGCAGATAAAGGTTTATTTAAGAATTAATATACTTGACAGGAAAGAGGAGAGACAGAGACAGGTTCCTAAGTACATCGCTAGCTGAGAGAGAGGGTAAGACTGAGTGTGGCACTTCCGAGAAGAAGGGGAAATTGCCTTGAGAGCAATGTTCCCTCTAAGCTGTGGAGTCTTGTGAGCAAAAATTCTACTTTGTGAGCTACGGGCATTAAAGTTGTGAGCGAGCGATTTGGCTACTGCATAAATCAGTTTGCTCTGGAGCCATCCTTCCTGAGCTAAGACAAAAATATGTGAGCCGGAGGCTAAAAAACTGTGAGCTAGCTCACACTAACTCAGCTTAGAGGGAACACTGCTTGAGAGTAGTAATCTGGAGACAGATTACTTAAAAGGAGAGAAGGTGCTGACTTCACTATCCTATCTGATTGTCTTCTTGCTACCCCCTGCAGGGACTTTTTCTTTTCTTCGTTGTACTCTAGACAGTGCCTTTCCCAATACCCCTTCCCAAGGTCTAGTGTACGAAGTCCACAAGATTCATCTACTTATGTAGACTTTCAAACTTTTCTCAAGAAAGTGGCTTGCAATCATTTCATCTGTAGGACAGTATTCCAACTCTTGCATGTTTCTTACTAGGGCCCCAGTCACACAGGCCAGATATCGCGGGGGGAAGGCGTGGCTAATTGACCCGACGCAGTTTGATGCGCGATTACACAGACACGCCGGCAGCACACCACGGGTCCTTCCCTCAGCGCCGGCGGGTAAACAAGGGACCGGAGGGGAATGCTGCGCGCTGGCGCGATCACACCACAGGCATCTGGAGGCAGCCCGTGGCAAACGTTTACTAGTACCTTGGAGGTACTAGTTTTTAAAGGTGCATTGTCGGCGGTAAGCCACCGGCGCGCTCCACTTCCCAGATGTTGGGGTGTGATCACGCCCGGATAATCCGCCCACCATCCGTGCCTCTCCCGTGGCAACTTTGCTGTGTGACCGGGGGCCCTGTGATGCTTCACATCTCTGTGTTTAGTTCTTGAGTTGATCTTCTCTGTCTGTGCAAGTTTTATGCACCCCTGGTTGTCTTCAAAGAGTTGTACTGGTTTGGATTAGTTGCAGTATCAATTTCAGTTGTCTGCACACTTCTGCTGCAGATACGTACTCAGCTTCAGTTGAGGGCACAGCTACAGTTTCTTGCTTCCTGCTGCTCCAGCTGACTGCCCCCCACCATAGAAGAATAAATGTCCATTGGTTGACTTTCTGTCTGTATCTCCTGCCCAGTCTGCATCCATGTATCCCACTAGTCTGGGATTGTCCCTTGTTGGTAACTTTAGATTCAGATGTGCAGTGTCATGCAGGTACTTTGCAAGTCTTTTGACTGCATTTCTACAAGACTTTTGCTGGGAGATTCCATCTTTCTGCATAACATGCCCACAGCTGCTGTGGTATCTGGATGCATCAGTGTGCTTATGTACAGCAGTCTTCCAATTGCTTCTCTGTATTGCTTGTTGTCAGGCAAACATTCACTACTTCCTTGCTGGTTCAGGTAGCTTGTTTCCACAGGAGTGCTTGCTGACTTAGCTCATATAATGCAGAAATTCTAGGATTTTCTGCTTCTGATTGAGGAGATAACTTCCATCTTCCTCTCTTTCTACTTGTATTCCAAGATAGTAGTTGATGTTTCCTAATTCTTTCACTTCTTGATTCAGATGTTGAAGTATTTCATCATAGTCCTCCTTGTCTCTATAGCACAAAACCAGGTCATCCACATAAGTCAGAATGTAAGTCCATTTCTTGTCTCTGTATCTTGAGTATAGGCATCATTGTGCTCGCTCAAATCCTCCTTGGTTAGCATTTGATGAAGTTTCTCATTCCAGCATCTCACAGCCTGTTTCAGTCCATGTATGCTCTTTTGCAGTTTACACATGACTTGCTTGCCTTTGGATTGTTCAAATCCTGGTGGTTGTTTCATGTAAACATCTTCCTTTATTTCTCCATGTAGAAAAACAGTCTTTCTCCATATTTCTTCATTTCTCCCTTTCATCAATGTAGTCCACATTGCAGATCTCGACTGTTTCTGTTTCTGGGTTGAGGATTTTGTACCCTTTGTATCCCAGTGCATAGCCAACAAAAATGCCTTCTTCTGCTTCTTCTGTAAGTGTAGGCCTTTGATCCAAACACCTTTAGATGATTCAGGCTGGGTTTGTGCCCATACCACAGTTCAAATGGTGTACTGCTGGCACCTTTAGGAGGTTTTGCAGGTAGGTGGCAGTGCTGAATCTGTTTTGCAGGTAGGTGGCAGTGCTGAATGCTTCTCCCCAGAACTTGTCAGGTAGCTCTGCCTCAAGGAGCATACATCTGCACATTTCAATGAGAGAGCAGTTTTTCCTTTATGCTATACCACCCTGCTATGGTGTGTATAGCACTGTAAGGTGATGCTCTATTCCTTGTTCAGCCAAATAATTTTTCATTTCATGTCCCACATATTCTTCTACATTATCAGTGCAGATTGTTAGTGACTTTCTTTGAAATCTGTTATTGACCATTGCCACATTTGCTTTAAAATTTTCCAGCACTTGACTCTTCTCTTTAATTAAGTAGGTCACAGCAGTCTTGAAAAGTCATCAATAAAAGTCAGCACATATTTATTTCCACTAGGGGCTTGAGTTTTCATTGGTCCAGAAACATTACTCTGTATCAACTCTAGGGGTCACTGCATCTGGCTTGTCTCATGCCTTTTGTTAAAGCTAGGTCTTGCCCCCTTCGCTTGAATGCAATGCATATATTTTCCTTCAACAGCACATTTGTTCATCTGCATGCCTTTAATTAAATCCTGGCTTTCTAGTTGGCTAACTGTGGGGCCGCAGTAGCTCAGAGGTTAAGATGCTGAACTGCAGACTGGAAGGTCAGTAGTTCGGCAGTTTGAGACTCTAGTGCTGCATGACAGAGTGAGCTCCCATCTCTGGCCCCAGCTCCTGCCAACCTAGCAGTTCGAAAGCAAGAAACTGCAAGTAGATAAATAGGCACTGCTTCAGTGGGAAGGTAACAGCATTCCGTACGCCTTGCCATCTAGTCATGCCGGCCACATGACTGTGGAGATGTCTTTGGACAGCAATGGCTCTTCAGCTTGGAAACGGAGATGAGCACTGCCCCCTAGAGTCAGATTTGAATAACTTTTGAGCAAGGGAAAACTTTACCTTTACCTTTAGTTGGCTAACTACATAATTGTCTGTGTCCCAACCATCTGTGCCATAGCCACGAGCAATTCTTGTGATCACAATGTTTTGTAAAGTTTGCTTTCTGCATGCAAGTCTCAGGAGCATATAAATCCTGATGCACTTTGCCAGTTGCAATTAACTGTCTCCTCTGTCTGACATAGCATTTTTCTCCAAAAGGTGTAATCATGCCTTCCTTCATGAATACTCTCACAGAAAAAAAACTATTTGCAAGCTCTGGAACATAAAGGCAGTCTTTAACAAGGATGTCTTGGCTCTTTCCACTAAGGAGTTTGTCTTTTATAGTTCCTAAACCAATACCTTCTGTCATTATAGACCTTCTATCTGGAACACTTAATGTCAATTTCTTTTCTTCATCTAATGTTTCAAAGAAATCTTTATAAGCACACATGTGGGTCTTGCAGGCACTGTTCAGATACCAAATATAACCTTTTGTGCCTCCTTTTGTTAATATAAAACATTTCTTTAATGGTTGCCTCTTAAATCTGATTGGAACTTCCTCGCTATTTCCCCCTTTTGCTTTGGGAAAGGCTTTCCTCTGCTTAGTGGTAGAACAATCGTCGTTTAATGTGGCCTTGCTTCCCACAGAGGTGACAAACGAGCCCACCTTTGTTATGATCAGCATTTGGTTTAAATTCTTTGTCAGACTTTTCAAATTCTCTGTGTTTCCTCCAGCTGATTTATAAGTTCTGTTTTCTCCAGCTGATTTATAAATTCTGTGAGGGACAGATTATTCTTACATTCAGTTTGAGACACTATATTTCCATACGACTCTGGCAGACTCATTAATAGTAACACAACCAGATCTTGATCAACAATTTCCTTTTCTGAACTCCTCAACTGCTTAGCCAATCCAAGCATCTTGTCCAGATGATGACATAAATTATGCCCATCTTTCATCTTAATACTGAAAAGTTTCTTTTGTAGATAAAGCTGGCTCTTTAATGAGGAATTAACATGCAGCCTTTCCAGCTCACACCACACAGCTTTGGCTGCTGGCATCCGAATTACTCTTAACACATTTCTGTCAGCTAAACCTTTCTTGCCTTTTCATTGTTGGAGTCCCAGGTTCTTTGCTTTGCTGGGTCATCATCTCCTGGTCGGGCATCCTGGATAACATCCCATAAGGCTGTTTCAAGAAGGTGACTCTTCATCTGTTCTCTCCAAATTAGATAATTCGATCATTGTTCTTGGTGAGGCTATCTATCCAGTGACCATGCTAAGCACCACAGGAGGCCGCCATCTTTGTTTCCTTGTTCTCGCCTGCTTGTGCCAAGAGCCTCTGGTGATCCTACTACCTTTAATCAGAGACGTGCTTAATCTTAGCCACCATAACCCCTGCTGGTAGAGTAATTAACACAGGAACTGGTGCACCAGAAGAAGAAGAGGAGGAGGAAGAGGAGGAGGAGGAGGAGGAGGAGATTGGATTCATACCCTGCCCTTCACTACCCAAAGGTGTCTCAGAGTGGCTTACAAACTCCTTTCCCTCCCCCTCCCCACAACAGACATCCTGTGAGGTAGGTGGGGCTGAGAGAGCTCTTGACAGAAACTGCTCTTTTTCAAGAACAGCTCTGACAGAACTACGGCTTGCCCAAGGTCATTCAGCAGGTGCATGTGGAGGAGTGGGGAATCAAACCCGGTTCTCCCAGATTACAGTCCGCGCACTTAACCACTACACCAAACTGTCTCTCAAAGAGTAGATAAAGGTTTATTTAGGAATTAACATACTTGTTAGGAAAGATGAGAGCTAGAGACAGGTAACTAACTACATCTTTAGCTGAGAGAGAGAGAGAAAGTAAGGCTGAGTGTGGCACTTCCAAAAAGAAGGGGGAGATTGCCCTGAGAGTAGCAATCTGGAGACAGACAAGGAATGACACTTAAAAGGAGAGAAGGTGCTGACCTCACTATCCTCTCTAGTTATCTTTTCGCTGCCCCCTGCAGAGTCTCCTTCGCTGCTTCTTTGTACACTAGACATTTCCCTTTCCTACACAGGGGTGGTTTGCCATTGCCTGCCTCTGCGTAGTGACCCTGGAGCAATGCTCCCTCGTAGTGACCCCTGGAGCAATGCTCCCTGTGGAGTCTTGTGAGCAAAAATTCCACTTTGTGAGCGACTGGCATTAAAGTTGTGAATGAGCAATCTGGCTGCTGCATAAATTAGTTCGTTCTGGAGCCATCCTTCCTGAGCAAAGACAAAAATGTGTGAGCCGGAGGCTAAAAAACTGTGAACCAGCTCACACTAACTCAGCTTAGAGGGAACACTGCCCCGGATTAATCCTTGGTGGCCTCACATCCCAGTCCTAACCAGGGCTGATCCTGCTTGGCTTCCGAGATCTGACAAGACTGGGCTAGCATGTTTTGTTCCCAGTCCCTTTCCCTAGCATGGGATTTGCCTTTTGATTCATAAGCATGCCTTTACTAATGCTTCCGGCCCTTCTTTCGCAGCTATTGTTATGCCCCACCTCAGCCTCCTGCTTACCTGGAGGTTTGTGTCGACCCAGCATCGAATACGAGGGGCCCCTGGCTCTCCCAAAGCGAGTGACCTCAGGTTCTACATAGTAACGGGGTCCAGGGCTTGAATCTTTCCGATGTACTGTAAACAAGCAGAGCCATCAGAGAGTAAGCCTGCTGCAGAGCCGTGGGTACTGTGAGCAGAGTGTGGGCTTGCATGCGGCAAGACTCCCAGGTGCTAATTCACCTCAGTGCAGTTTACTGCCAACTAACTACATCTATTGCAAGGCTAGATTTCTCATCTAATGTCACCGAGAAGGTGGCTAAGTTTCTTTACTCTGCTATAAAGGTACGCCAAGGGATCTCACAGAGGCCACTTCTGCACAGTTATTTTTGTTACCCGTTTGTCCCTATTGCTTTGGGTGTGCCCCCCCCTTCCACATGAGTTTTGCTCCCTCTGGGACTACTAGAGAGAGCAAAACACGTTGGGGGGGGGGAACCCTGAAGGAATAGGGACAAAAGAGTGACAAATATGTCAGTGCAGAAGTCACAAGAAATAATCTTATATTTACACTGATGTATATGTATGTTGGAGCTGCGGTGGCTCAAGTGGTTAAGATGCTGAACTGCAGGCTGTGGAAGGTCGGTAGTTCAGCAGTTCGAGACCCAAGTGTGCCGCATGACGGAGTGAGCTCCCGTCTCTAGTTCCAGCTCCTGCCAACCTAGCAGTTTGAAAGCAAGAGATTGCAAGTAGATAAATGGGTACCACTTCAGTGGGAAGGTAACAGCGTTCCGTGCGCCTTGGTGTTTAGTTATGCAGGCCATATGACCACGGAAACATCTTCGGACAGCGCTGGTTCTTCAGCTTGGAAATGGAGATGAGCACCGCAACCCTAGAGTCAGATTCGACTGGCTTTCGAGCAAGGGAACCTTTATCTTTACCTTTACTATATGTATGTTGCGGTTTTAACTTACCTTTTAAACTGTATTAACTTGTAAAAAAAATTCCATGCCAATAAAGGCTGCTTAACTTAATTTAACTTAATGACATCTATTGCACTTTGGAAGGAACAGGCAGACTTCTGGGCACTGCAGTCATGACAGATCAGAGAGTTTGGTGGTGCGTAAAGGGGAACACATCCCCCCTCCCCCTGGGAAAAAGTCTGGCTAGGCAATTTCCGACTCCGGCAGAAAGCCTTATGTCAAAAACTTACTGCTGTTGTTAAGCCTCTGATGGAAGGAGTGGGCAGGACTGGTGAAGCGGGTGTAGTCATGGTTGACAAATCCAACTGTCGGAGGCAAGCTGTAGCACCCAGGGCCAGGGCCTAGCAAGATGCACAAACAAAACAGCATCTCAGAAACAGCTGGTCTCAATGCTCTCATATCCATCTCCCTGCCCTTCCTAGATCGACTTGGAGACTGATCACAGGAAGGCCACGTTCTGAAGGCGAGACATTCCGAGGGAAACAAATCCTACTGAAAAGTCACCCAGATGAAAGACTGCCTGTTGCTGCAGGACTCAGTAAAGAAGGAGAGTGTGGCCTTTTTGGGAAACTGCTCCACAACTGCTCGGGGTTCCATGAGCCCCCAAGCATTTTCAACAAGCCCCTTCTGAAGTTAGCAAGGCATCAAACCAGGCACCAGAGCCAGTGTGGTGTCATGGTGAAGAGTGACAGGCTCTAATCTGGAGAGCCAGGTTTGATGCATTCCCCACTCCTCCACATGAAGCCTGCTGGGTGACCTTGGGCCAGTCCCAGTTCTCTCAGAACTCTCCCAGCCCTACCTGCCTCACAAGGTGCCTGACGTGGGGAGAGGAAAGGAATTTGATTGGAAGTCACTTTGAGACTCCTTAAGGTAGAGCAAAGCGGGGTATAGAAGCCTACTCTTCTTCTCTTTAAAGCCCCTGGTACTGGGACTCATCACTAAGACCTACTGGATGCAGTAAATTGCTGACCTGTCCATGGTGCTGACACATTCTGTGCCCCATTTGAAACTGGATTGCCTACATATTACAGTCTAGTGTGAGGGCCTGCCTCTTTTTGCTCCAGTTCCTGCCCCATGCCAAAAACTGAGCTGTTCCCAGGGGATTGAATGAGACTCCCTGGTGGGTGCATTTGCCTCCACAAGGAGTGCTTGAGGACCAAAACTACAAGCTAGTGGGCCAGCCTCCAATCCAACCGAGTCTTGGTCTGCTGGGAGCTTTATCTGAGCAAAAAACAAACATTGCTGTAAGGGCCACCAGCTTCAATGGGTAGGTGAATCAATTAAAGAAGTAATGGATTAATTGATGGAGGTGAAGTCTAATCAGTGGGGCTGCAAATTAAGGGCAAGCTTGTTTATTTTTCCAGTCTATTTGGGCTTCGGTACATCTTTATCTGCCTCCTTGAACCCTGGACCCAAAGTCTGGTTTTGGACCTACAAGTTGGGCCAGAGACGATCAGTAGCAGATATTCGAGCTGTCATTACCAGAGGCTTATCTGCAGCTATAATAATAATAATAGTAATTCTCACCTAAGTCTTAAAGCCAATGGGCTGTTCGAGCAGTAAAAGACAAGAACAAAAAAGTTATTGCTGTTCAGAGTTCATTAAAAACAAACAACGTTTATTTGCACCAGCTATATATTTGCACACACATCTGATGTTGTATTAAAATCCGGGTCCACTAACAGAGTCATTAACTGATAGTTAGAAGAGCAAACAGGCTTCTTATTCAAATGAGGATCGAGAAATTTTCTTCTCAGATCTGAATAAATTACACAGAAAAAGAAGAAATGCTCGGCCCCTGGTGAGGAGGTCTTGACAGCTGAGCCTCACCCCCAGCCCCACCCCCAGGGAGCACAAGTTGAGAGCAGCTGCCCTACTTCATAACTACCCCATGGCAACAAAGGGAGCTTTGAGATTTCCATACCAGTCTCTTGAGCAGCGATCCCTCCTGTTTTTCTCGATCTCGGGTCTTCCATCTTGATGCCTCAGCTCTGAAATTCAGACCTTACAAATGGCTTTTGTCAAAGGCCATCATTCCTCCTTGCTCCTGTCCTCCCCCGCCATAAGTGCCCCCCGCTGGTCAGAAGCAAACAAATTTTGCAATGGAAGACATGCTCCAAACGGAGGTCTGCCTCAAGGGAGAAGAGTTCTCTCTTCTGAAGTGGACTTGCCAAGATAAGCTCAGACCCCCGAAGGGCTGAAAAGATATCTCGGTGTGACAGTGATCCAGGAGACACAAAGGAGGTGTTGAAAGCAGAAGCACAGCAGGGAGCCTCTCTGTCAGTGTATCTTCTCTCTCCTCCTCCCCATGGGGGGTTTGGCCTACAGCAAAAGACAGCCGGCTCTGCTGAAGCGTGATGGTGTCAAGGGCACAGTTGCAGGCCTACAGAGTTACACGTTTCACAAGGGATGACAAGCGGACACTGTGGCATTATGTTACATCCACTCTAGACCTGACTCACCCCATGGAATACATGTACAGTGATGCCCTGCCGTGCCTGGCTCCCTTTTTAAAAAATGTTTGCCTGGAATCCCAGTAACAGGGTTGTGGCAAGGGTTGCCAGCTTCCAGGTGGGGCCTGGAGATCTGGAATTAAAACTGCTCCCCAGACTACAGAGATTAGTTCCCCGGAGGATACAGCTGCTTTGAGGGGGTGGGATGTGTGACGTTATAATCTGTTGAGCTCCCTCCCCTCCCCAAACCCCACCCTCCCCAAGCCCCACCCCTAAATCTCCAGGAATTTTCCAATCTGGAGCTGGCAACCCCAGGGTGTGCTAAGCACTGGGCAGACCAGAAGATGCGGCTGATGGCCTCTATCTCTGGGAATTCTCCCATACATTCTCTAGTACAATCCCTCTACCAGAAATGGGAAAGGGGAGTTTTTCACGGATGAAAATAGGGGGCTGCATCCTGTATTTATAATGCTAAGATTGTCTAAGGTAATATTATGAATTTATTGCAGTGGGAATGACATTGACTTTATTTACTTTATATAACTCTTTTCTTATTAACTGGGGCCCAGAACACCTTATGTTGTTCTCGTCCCCTCCATTTTTATCCTTACACCAACCCTGTGAAGTAGAACAAAGTTTGAGCCCAGCAGCAACTTTAAGATCCACAAAGGATCTGAAGAAGTGTGCATGACCATGGATGCTTCTATGCAGAATTAAACTGTGTTGGTCTTAAAGGTGCCACTGGACTCAGACCTTGTTCTATTGCTTCAGACCAACACAGCAACCCACCTGAATCTGTATTTCCCAACTGACTACTTCAAACAAGCGATCACTATGACAAATCCTCCTTTAAAGACCCCTCCTCTTTAAACTGTGATCATTGCTACTTACAAGGAATACTCCTAATCTTCCAACCCATAACCAGGACATTTTCATCAGTTTTCTTTTTTAAAGAGCCCAAAAGAAGATGGGCACCAAAATAAGAGGACATATTTCCTGACTGACTACTTCAAACAAGTGATCACAATTTGGGCGGTTTCACACATACATTAAATAGCACACTTTCGATCCACTTTCAATGCACCTTGCAACTCGGTTTTACTGTGTGGAATGGCGAAATCCACTTGCAAGCTGTCGCTGAAGTGGACTGAAACTGTATTTATTGAGCATGGGTGAAAGCTGACAACTCTCCTTCTAAATACCCCTCCTGTTTAAGCTGTGATTATCGCTATTAACTAGGAATGTTCCTAACCTTCCGACCCCCAAAGTGGGCCTTTTCCTCCGTTTTTTAAAAAGAGCCCAAAAGAGGGCAGACACCAAAAAAAGTGGACATGTCCCCCCCAAAAGAGTACATCTGATGATCACCCTAAACTCTGGAGTATCTCCAGCCTCAACCTGGAGGTGAGTGCGCAGGGCAATAATCCGGTGGGGTAAGAGTTGAGTCCAGTGGCGAGCGCAACTGCTTGCAACCAATGCTCCCTCTAAGCTGTGGAGTCTTGTGAGCAAAAATTCTACTTTGTGAGCCATTGGCATTAAAGTTCTGAGCGAGCGATTTGGCTATTGCATAAATTAGTTTGCTCTGGAGCCATCCTTCCTGAGCTAAGACAAAAATGGGCGATCCGGACGATAGAAAACTGTGAGCCCGATCACACTAACTCAGGTTAGAGGGAGCACTGCACGCAACATGCTATACAGTTGACAGCTGTCAGGCAGGCGGTGCTTACTCCCTCTTGCGGGCGCAGTTTACGAGGGAGGCGTGGCAAAAGAGCGGGGCGCTTGAAAAAGGATGGGCGGGGCGTTGGACCGGCTCAGGTAAACGGGCGGGGTTTAGCCCGGCTGCGTGCGCAGCCGCGGAAGCGGGCTCGTGGGCAGGCCGCGCGCATGCGCACTGGTCCCCGCTGGCTCTGAGGCGATGCTGACGGGCGGCGGGAAGAGGGAGGCGTCGTTGTCGTCGTCCGCGATGGTGGCGGCGGCGGCCTGGCGAGCGCCTCGGTGAGGGGCCGGCGAGCGGAGGAGGATGATGGGGGAGCCTCGGCGGGGACCGCCGCGCAGCAGGATCCACGCCTGGGTCGGCGGCCGGGCCTCGGCGGCCGCGCCATGACCGGCGAGAAGAAGAAGAAGAAGCGGCTCAACCGCAGCGTCCTCCTGGCCAAGAAGACCGTCATCCGCGATGGCGCCGGCGTGAGTGGCCGGCCGGGCGGGGGGCGAAGGCTGCGGCGCCGGCATGCTGGCTGGGCAATACACTTCTTGGGAGATTTAACAGCACTCGGTATCACGCTTCTGTGACTGGGCAACACTCTGCTGTATTAACTGAATATCTCAATAGTACATGTAGTCTGTTCTTTCACAAGAAGTTCAGGAGGGCCTAGGCGCACAACCTTCCCCGCACCCACCCACCCCCTGTTAATCTCACAACGTCAACTGTGCAGGGAAGGCTGGACTGAGAGGGCGTGAGTGGCCCATGGTTGAGTGGGGATTTGAACTCAGTTCTTGTCAGGCCTGGTTTGACACTCTGAGCTCCTGGACCACATTGGTGGTTGCTTCGCCTGTATGGCCTTGTCGGAACCTGCACAGCAACCAGGCCTGTGCTGTTCTTATGCTCCTATTCGGAGGCAGGCTGAGGGTCAGACCGTCCTGCTCCTTCAAAGGTCTGGTTGGCAGTTTGAGAAGGATGTTATTGGGTCTTGCCTTGCTTATGGAAACCCCCGGGTAGTGCCTCTGCGTTACCAGTCGTGCCCTCCACCGCCCTTGAAAAGGGGGTGATTGTGCCATAGTTGCCCTGGTTAATGCTTAATCTCGCCCAATTTTGGGGGGGCTCTCTCGCTTGGAGTCAAGATGGGTTACGCAGAGTGAGTCAATATAATCGACAGGATGGGATATTCAGTAAAAATCAATAGGATTAGGGTTGTAGAACCAGTCAGAAATCTAAAAACAGTACTAAAGTAAGGCATAAGTATTAACATGACACATTATGATGCAAAAATTACATAGTAGGATCGCATTTTCAGCCTGCTAAGCACAATAGTATAGTTTGGAGTCCCTAATGATTTGTCGAACTAACTTTGTGAATCATTTAGTACAGTGCAGCCCTGTTGCCTGTGTAAAAAAAGCCTGGTTGAATTATTTGGTCTTGCATAGTTTGTGGAAAGCCAGGAGAGTGGGAGACTTCCGGACCTCCTTGGGCAGGCCATTCCACAAGGAGGGAGCCACAGTGGAGAAAGCACGGCTACCGGAATTGGTTGATTTTGCCCATTTGCAGGTGGGGCCCTGCAGAAGACCTTGCTTGTGGCTTTTTGGACACTGCTTCTAGTTTGGGCTTCTTTAGGGTCACCAGCTGAGAAGATCAGCCAGGGTGTGTGAGAAAAGGGTGAGATCAGTTTGGTGGTGCCCTGATTGCTGTACACACGACCTTTGTAGGGCGTTTGGAAATTTCAGTGACTCTGGAATATGGTGGCTTGGTCAGCTTTGCTTGCTGGGAGCTGCTGCTGAATCCATTTCTCCAGCGCTGTGAACTCTATGAAGACAGTGTTTGTCTGCGGTAGAACAGCTAGATTTGGGTCCAGTAGAACCTTAAAGACTGACAGGATTTCCAAGGTAGAAGCTGAGTTGAAGCTCCCTTTGTCAAATACAAAGCTCCTTCATCAAATCTATTGAGTTTTTAGTCGGGAAACAATTTCTGTGTTTCCCATTTTTATCACAATTTCTAAGCCCCACATCTGAGGCCAGGCCTGTTGAAGGACTGCCTTGGTCATGCTGAACCTCCCAATCAACAGAGCTCGGCTTCAGCTGCCCTTCTTCAGGTCCTGCCCCCCCACACACACACTTTGGGGGATTAAGCAGGTGTCAGCTGGAGAGGAGTCCTCTATGACTGCCCTCCAACAGGGGATGTTCACCTGGTAATGCATATTGCAGGTGTGTGGGTGGAATTGTTGCATGAGCCAGGGTTTGACAAATATCAGGCGCCGTGGGGCCTAGAAGTTTCATTGTGGAGCCCAGTAGTTTCATCAGTCATTTACCCTTCATAGTTCTCAGAAGTACAAAGCTTATTTTGGTGAGTGCTATAGTTTTGCTTTTAGTTGTGATGACAACTAGGGTTACCCCATATTTGCGTATGTGTTATAATGCTTTTGTCATAGCTTTAAATAAATTACCAACTGTGAAGGGTTTAGAATTGGGCTTTGCGGTAGCAACAGTGTGAAAATGTAGTCAATTAAAATATAAAAGGCTGAAAAATAAGTCTGGCTTCTAAATTTTTGGGGTGGCTTCTACAGTGCAAGGAAATGTGTCAAGCCCTGTAGTGAGCTATCTAAGGTTGCGTCTGGTGCATTTGAGGAGAGATTTGGACTGCTGGCTCACAATTGAAGCCACTCCAAGGGCTGAGAACCGAGGAGAAGGGACCCTTGTGCTTACAGTGAATGGGAGGGAAGATTAGAAATTACACAATAGAACATTTGGGTATAGATTGAGGCTGTGGTTTTGGAGTGACTTTTTAACTCGCTACTTTCCCCCTCTTACAATTTCCC